ACTGCATATACCGTGCTCTGTTCTACCATCAGAAACAAAAGACTTGTAGAGAAAAAAACACAAAATCCCAGTACATAAAATGCACCTAGCCCTACATTCTTTTTTTGTCTCATTTAACACAAAAGAGTGTATATGCTGTATATATGTAACACGTGTACTGTATATGCTACATTTTCCATATTTAAAATGCACAAAAGTCAGTTCTTTGTCTTGCTAATCACTTATTTTTATCAGAAGTTCAGCAGTGGAGCAGACTGGAATGGGTTCAAGTCGAGTATCTTTACTAAGGAGTATAGAGACATCAGAGCAGGGGTTACTGGTCCTGGAGAACTGCACACCAGCTAGTTTTCATTCCAGTTGAGCTGAATTACATAACTGAATCCTTAACTGAACTAACAAGACCCTTGATGGGAATATTATTTATGTTCTACTCCAAAACTATTAACAAATTAACATTTTTTTATTCACTTATAAAATCCAATAGTTAAAAGGCAATTGTCAACATGTCTAAGAGCTGAAAATTAAAACTGTCATACAGTTCAAATTAATTTAAAATTTCATTACCTTTCAATATAGTAGAAAAGACAGTAGGATGTTACCCTGCTTGAAATTGCCTGCTTCCCTCATTTTGACAGCGTATAAGAAACATGCAGAAATGTTTTCAGAAAAAAAATACAAACAAAAATCATAATACTGTACTTTTTGTTCTTTCATTCTTTAAAAAAATGCTCAAAATGGTAAAAAAAAATCTGTTGTCATGAAATTAAACGGATGATGGTGAAAATGAATGTCTGAAACTGTAGACTTCATCACAAAAGTTTGTTTACTCAATATAAACTTCCTAAATATATTTAGAATTGCTGTAACTTGACTTCAAGTGAATTGCATTTGTTTGTTTGGAGAAGAATTTGACAGAACTTGATCTTACTAGTTACTTACGTAGCTCGTATCCAGTAGATGGCACTAGTACTCCACATTTACACACACATCACAACTGTACTTGCTAGGATATTGCTTGCTGTTTGCATGTAGGTCACTCAACTATCATTTCTATCATATTTTTTAGTTCAATTTCCTACATCAGTAGAGTGCCAAAATGGTGACAAAATATGCAGATTTAAACACGAATCAATTACCTAATTAAACATTAAAAAACAAATGTAGTACAGTATAATTACAAAATAATGCTTCTGAACAAAATCTCTGAGGAATTAGAGCAGTGGGATACCTTAGATTCATTGTATTTTATCTCTGGGAGTTAATTTGCACAGTAATATGGAGCCTTCCTGTTTCACAGTGCTCTGAATACCAGGGTACCAGGGCTCTAGAGCTCCCAATGAAAATTTGTGATTTTGTCCTGTTGTCACGTTTTGAAAGTATTGCTGGTCTAAAAAGAAAATGTATCACATCTTGGCACAAATTTTACAAAGAATCTGTTAAATTTTCATTAAGTGTTCAGATAATTACTAAATCTTCCTAAGTTAACAGAAGCATGGAATTGATTCTGTGGCAAATGTGAGGAAAATGTATTATTTTTGTGGTATTTAATACTATTCAGATCATTTAAAATTATAATTACACCTGCCTAAAACTGATATTTATAGCAGAACACGTAAGTCACCAAAAATAAATTAAATAATTAGAAAACAAATAATGGTTGACATAATTCAGGAACAAATGGTTGCATACAGTGCCTAGCAAAAGTATTTAGATCTTTTTTGTTTGTTCCTTGTTTTTGCAAAGCTTGTAGTCATGATGCTTTGAAGTAGCCATTAATATTTGTTATGTACATAAAAAAAGATGTAAGATTCAACAAAGAAAGTAACAATCAGTGATAAGTATGCAGGAGAAGTACAAAACAGATCAGATATACAAACATTTAAAGTCTCCCTGAGAATCTTGAAATCGATCATTAAGAAGTGAAATGCAGACACTGCCTAGAGATCAGGATGTTCCTCTAAACTGAGTGGTCGGGGAAGGAGAAAACTTGTTACTGTATGGATGCCAAATGAGGCCAAGTTTGACTTTGAGGGCTCAGAGGCTGAGATGAGAGAAAATGTCCACATAAATAAAACGTCTAACATCCCACACGGGGATGATAACAAAACTAAAAAAAATGTGGCAGAAGCTTTTGTCGTCAGACAAGACAAAATTAGAACATTGAAGCCTAAATCCAAAGTGCAACATATTTCATCACTCAATCATCACCGCATCTGCTGTCAAGCACGGTGCTGGCAGCATCATGTTATAGTCCCGCTTCTGCTCAGCAGGGACTGGGAAGCTTGTCAAGACTGATGGGAACTTAGCTGGACCAAAGTACTGGCAAATCTTAAAGGACGACCTGCTTTAGCCCTAAAACTAGGCCGATATTTTCCTTGCAGCAGAACAATAAGCCAAAGCACAAGGCTCCAGCTCCAGCTCCCCTGATACCCTGAACTGGAAGAAGCAGTTAAAAAATTGATGGAGGGATGGTCATTTTACTCCGAAGTTTTCACTTTGAACATTCAGGTTTTCAGTAAAACATTAAGTTTAAAAAATGGGCATGCACTCTTCTGTAGTTTTAATACAGATTTGTTACATGGAACGCCATAGGAAAGGTCTGAACACTTTTGCGAAGCACTGTATATGAAAATATAATGTTGAATTCGATCAATCAGCACAAGAAAAACACTACAACATCTGAAAACAACTGCAGTTACCAACGTACATAGCACACTGAAATCCAAGGAAGGTGCTGCAGCATTACAAATGGACACATTTCAGTGTTATGTAATCTACATTGTAAATATACAGACCAAGTATTGGGCTGTTTCTCTGTACAAAACAGCGACATTTACATTTAATCACAAGCACTGCAGTATTTTTCTCTCAAGTGTTTTTTTTAGAATGGCGGTTTAAAAAAGGCTTTACTGACAAAATCTGCATTTCAATTTGAAGTCGGGAGGGGCTGGCTGCTTTTTGCGTTTTGACATGGCAGAATTAGGTGTTGCTGGAATATATCTGCTTCCAATTGTAATTCCTACCTTTGTCTTTATAAATATTCCTCATATCTATATTAGGACAATATTGCTATGTTTGGCCTCTCGGTTTACCTCTCAGCAATAGACATTTCTCAGGGGATATTTTTAGATTTAATGTAGCATCCATTTAATGATGCTAAAGCAGATTAATTCCTGCTTAACACTATGTAACCAGTCATGTCATGTTGTTTATATTCCAGTATTCTCAGCGACATTGGGAGAGGCTGTCTGCCCTTCTGCTGTTCTTCAAAACCTCGATTTATCTACTTACTTTTGGACAGTTATAAGTCAGGAATGACTCCATAAATCCTGTGGATAAGGGCCCTGTGGCACGTTGAAGCTGAATCCAATGGAAATTCCCCCGGCGTTTATCTGATGGGCAACTGATTAACCAGCTCGCTGAGGTGGAGAGTGCCGTTCTTCACTGGTCAGCTACTCAGTCACTGACCCACCAAGGACCAGGCTTTGGATAAACAGGACCCATGGGAGAAGCCATTTTCATTCACTGCCATCTCAGATGCTTTTATGAGCTGGCATGTTTTCCGAAGAAAGCTTTTCATGGAGCAATTTAAAGTTACCTCTTTTGCAACATATTAACATACAATGCTGATTCAAAGGCTAGAGGTAAAGCTTAGCTCACAACAGTGTGAAATGTGTGGCTTGTGGCTGACTCTTGCCCTAAACAACTGTGATCTCATTTACTAGTTATTAGTCTATTAATAATTATCTCTGCTCTCATACTGTTAGTTGGCTTTCTATTTAAATGGTATAAAAATAATAATTTCTGAAAGGAGGAAATGTACAGGGTATATAAGCGGTGCACAAACCACTGATCAAACTGTAACAGTGTGGGGATGCTTCCTCAGTTTTGTCTTGCTCATTTATTATTGAGACTTCTTTTAGAAGACATTCTTTGTTGGAATAGTTAACTTTAAGGTAAATAGGGTTGCTGGAATAGTAAACGTGAAGGTAAATAGGTTGAGGAAAAAAACTATTTACATTTTCTAAAGAGGTATACAAGAGAGACTATCATTTTAAAGGGTACCTCAGTGAGCCATGTTTCAGGGCACATAAAGTATTGCATGCAATAACGAAAAGCAGATTTATACACCAGGATAAAAGTGCAAGTGTCTCCTGACATACAGTAATTCAAGCTGCATGCTTATAAACCTGGAAACAAAATCTAGTGCTTTGGTGATGGTCCTGTTTCTCTGGGTTTAGATGCGTAAGTTTATCATTTTGAAGCAAAAGAATGATAAAGCACTATTTTGTACAATTTGCACCTTTGCATTTTTCTAAACTAAAGTGGCTAGATTTGAATCAATTCCTCTAAGCCCATTCTCACTAGGGATGTAAAGATGTGAAGACCATTCTATTTGGTTTAGAGCCTTTTAATACCGTAATAACTGATTTTTCTTCCAATCACAGGAGCACAACAATAGAAATATGTAAAATCTTTGGGACCTACATTGTCTGCTCACTGTTTAGGTTTAGAAAAGGGTTCATAGAAGACTGGCTGGTTTTGAATGCATTGTGATACACTGAAAGGTTGTTAGAGCTGAATCTCTTCAGATCACTAGACATGTGGTACAAGAATACAAGATTCTGAAGGTTAGTGGCAAAGTCAACCCAATGAATGTGAGAAAACGAAGACAGACCAACATTCGAAAGCACTGCAACCACTGAGTAAAAACTGAGAATGAAGCATTAAGAAATGTAAAGCTTTCTTAGGACATTGAGTGAAAGTTTATCCACAGTACAGCAGAAGCGTTTGGTCTGTCCCTCAAGGTTGCATTCAGCCTTCGCCTCAGTGAACGCTGCTCAGTTTGTTCGTTTCAGTAACGTGAGCAATTCCCATCTGTTCCCTCCCCATCAGCTTACAGCTAACCCAGCCAAACTCTAACTCCCTGTGACATTAAAGCCACCGCCCAGCTTGGAGTAGCCAGAAATGTTGTCGGGCTTGTTCCTGTCATTCCTCACCACCATCTTGGCCTGTTATTGCCTCCATATAGCAGTTCTTATGACATCACGTCTTCTCTGACAGAGGCTGGATTCAAGCAGAACAGAGCAAACCGCCTGGAGGAATGTCTGGATGAAGAAAAGTACTAAAATCAATTTGCTTCCAAAAGAATAAGGCAGACAAATCCTTATTATTACAAATCAGATTTAAGACAGATCCATAAGTTCTAAACCACCTCCTGTTTTGCTTCAGCTTTTACATTAAATACGCTGGATTATATAAATATTTTAAGGTTAAGTCATAAGAAGAAATGCAATTAAATCAGTCTTCCCATGCGCAACTAACGCTGCATTTGAAATTCAATTTGCATGGCATCGCCCATGGGAGGAAAGGGTTATGTGACACCGAGGTGCTCCTTCACTTGTTTATAATGCAGCCAGAAATAGGACTTTCCCCTCACAGTTCTAAAATTAGTGCATGCATCATAAATTAAATCTTATCTCCTCATCTTCTGGAACAGGCTGAATTAACACAGCAAACAAACACATTCACACACAGTACAGAATACTGGCACTCAAACCCAGAGAGCAAAAAAAAAAGATGCTGTTAGCACAGCCTGAACCAACTCAGGTAATAACAAGATTATTGGAAAATGACCACTGTTTTTGTTTTGTTCAAAGAGCCAAGCAAAAACAAAGGGCATTCAGATGCCCTAATGCTATCGTGGAAAAAAACTCAAATTGCATTCTGATCCTTTTGTTTGTTCCATGTATTATCACAAAATGAAGCTTTGATCTAAAAACTAAGACTCATTCTTTCATTTCTGCAATAATTTGTTCTTTTTATAATCTGTTTCTGGTCTTAATTCATGCCTGTTTCCGGTTTAATTATTTTTTCCCCCCGCAATCCTAGGCTTCTTCTATTAATGAAGCACAAGCACTGTTGTGATGCTGAAATAAAGTCAGGAAATGATTTTGGCAATACTATGTTATGTATCATGTAAAGACACTATTTTGAATTTTGATTTGTTTCCATTTAAATGCGGGTATTTACATTTAAACCTAACCTCTCTTACGTTTTATCTTGTTTTTAATGTGAAAATTGCAGACTTACTGTAAGTCGAAATCTGTAAAAATCCTTTTTTCCAAGTCTGAGTTCCAGCTAACAAAGCTTGGAACGCACAGGTAAATCAGGCCACATTTTCAGCCACGTTTTTTCCCCAACACAACAGGGAACACTTTGGCCAAAACCTTGATGTGTGACCTCCAAAAATAGTTTTTTTTCATCTCCAAAATTATGTAAAGTGGAAATAGCAATTTGACTTCCACTTCCACCATTTTGTGTAATGGAACAAGCCCTAAGGGGCTATCTTCTACATGCATTCCCCTGTATATTCCCTGAACATGCTGAGAGAGAACAGGTGCAGTAAGAAATCTCCTTTCATACCTTGTTATCAGTACCGTTTCACTTTGCTGCCAGTCTTGGAGTGGCTGAAGGTAAAGCTCCTGAAATATGTTAAAACAGAAAAGGACTGTGAGGCTGTGACCATCTTCCTTTGAAATGCGAACTGTACTTTGCAAATTGACAAATAACATAATTGTCGAATTTAAATGAGAGTTTGGGCATCACCACGACTTATCTACTACTGTCTTTTCCCTGACATGAGTAGGCCTTAACCACAGTGGATTAACACAATGGAAGGAGACACCATTGTCATTTGTGCTTAATTGTTAATCTGATCAGTTCTTAGCAGGACTGACGGCATTCACATTTATCTGCAATAATAACGCAGTTGTCTTTACTTGGGCAAAGGCACTCAGATGCTGACAACTACATCTGTCAGCTTTCGTTCTCTCTTCACTATCCATTCTGAGATCATTTTAGACTTATTCTAACTTCCAGGATTTTTAATGTACAGTACCTTGTGAAGGTACTCCAATGCTGTCCCAGTTTATGAAAGTACAAAATTACTTTGACAGGTCACACAATTATTTGAATAGCCCTGTGTGCAATAATAATGGTCCATTTAAATACACCTGTCTCTATAATGTTCCCCAGTCACTCAACTGGGACATCGTTGTGCCCAAATTAAATTGCCTCCTGGCGATGAATGAAGTATTTTTATTTGAATTGAAATGGGACATCATCGGGAGGGGATGAATACTTTAGGATGAAGGTACTGTATATTTCTTGAATTGGTTAACTGCTGTGTCCAGTAAATTCTTCAGAAATACAGTTATACAAAATCCATTGCTTACTGTATAAAAGTCAAATGGAAGATATTTATGTTTGCAATAAGCAGCAATGGGTGGCGCAGTGTTGCAGTGCTTAGCATTGCTGCCTCGCAGTGTTGTGGCCCTGGGTTTGATTCCAGTCCTGGGGTGCTGTCTGCATGCAATTTGTATATTCTACCCGTGTTCATGCAGGTTTTCTCCAGGTGCTCTGGTTTTCTCCTGTACTCCAAAAACATACTGCTAGGTTAAACTGGTGGCTTCTGGGAAAATTGGCGCTGCTGTGAGTCTGTGTGCCTGCGTCTGTGTCTGCCCTGCGATGGACTGGCGTCCCGTCCAGGGTGTATCCTGACTTGAGCCCCCCTGACCTTGAGGAAGAAGAGGTTAGAAAAAAAAAGGATGGATGCGCAACAAGATAAATTTACTCTCCATGGAAAACTGCTTTACAGTATATCAACAGAGAATGGTGCTCAATGTATAACACATTGAAAATCTGTACACAGACCCAAGGCTAAAAGACTGAATCCTTTCAGTCTTGAATAGGGAAGATTACACTGGTTCAAATTCTTTAAAAGCACTGACAAAGTCAACCCATTTGATATCTTCAGATTCAAATTTTAAACCGTGAACCACGAACCACAGGATACAAGTGGAACCTATGTACAGTAGAAGAGCAAGAAGCACAGAGATCCAGTGGTCTACTGGATCCTTGGATCATTTAGTTACTGTATTAGAAGCCTAGCAAGCTAGATGTGCTGAAGAAAATGCAATGCAAGAGACAGATGGGCCAAATACAATACAAAACAATTGTATTCTTCTGTAGTTCTCTGCATGCCTCATCATCCCAGAATGATTTGACAGAAATAACAGATATATAAACAAAAACAAATCCAGTTATAATTCATTACTGAAAGCACATCTAAAAGATACATTTTTTGGTTTGCTTTTAAAACAAACTAGTGTCTCAGAGCCTCTGATGTGAAAATGGAATTTGTTCCAAAAACAGGTCGAATAGCAGCTAAAAGCCCTAAAACTGAAAGGTCGGTTCTCACTTGCAACCTTTTTTCTGTTCTTATACAGTACAAGTGTGGAAATGTGATCATTCCTACAGTACATTTTTGCATTACTCCTGCAATGGCACTGTTATCACAGTCCAACCATCATAGACTTCACATTCTGAAGCCATATGTGATAAACTTTATATGATTTTGTTTCTGTGGCTCTACAGGCAAAAGCTTGTATACCATATTATCTCAATCCCTAGCGTTTCATAAAAGCAGATGCAATGTGGAAAGATTAGACTGGTGTGATGTGTACATCTGTGTATTATGATAAAAATGTGCAGCAGCAATGGGTCTTCAGAGGCAAATGGTTGAGAGGGAAAACGATTACATAATTCTTGCATGATTTGTGATCTACAATAGCTACAGTCACAACAGTCTTTACAGAGGGTATTCACCACCTACTGCGGAGTGTGTGGGAGTTCCAAGCCATGTTGTTCTCTGACCAGCCACTCACCCTTTAGCTGAGCAGGTTATCATACTTAATACCAAACTCCCAATTCGCAAAAACTGGTCAAACTACTGAATCAGGCTATGGGGATTCTTGCTCATGTCCTTGACCTGTGATATCCATAAAATGTCTATTACAGTGCCTTATCTTCAGTGTAGTTTTCCACACTTTCATTGGAGGCATAACTTAAAATGTGTCCTTTGAATTTGTAAGGTGTTATTTAAAAATAATGTATAGGCACCATCATAGAAGAGTATTTTTTTTAATTTAATGGGTCTTGTTTTGCCCTTATGAAATAAATATTTCAAGACTGAATAATTTTCCTTAGCTTTAGCGCTTGAATTGAAAAATAAATATTATTCCAGACATATAAGACATGCTATAAGACATATCCTCCATCATCCAATTGGATTTTTAGTCATTTATTTTGACAGTGGTTAATTGTCATTAATAGACAGTGAACACATGCAAACGTGGAGGAAAGAGTCAATTTGAAGGCTGTGTGCATATGTATGAAGAAGCATGTGCTAATATTAGTCTTTATTAACACAATTTCTGGGTGCCACAGCATGAGAGAAAAGTGTGATATCATGTTGCCATGGCAGCCACACTTATGGTTGCAGGTGAAGCCTGAGAACTGCAGAGATGGAGTGGAAATGCACGATAACAAATCGTTTGAGTTTTAGCTCAGTCCTCTGAAAAAAAAACTGAAATTCTACACATTATCCTGGGTGATGATGATTTAAAATGTATCATTTCTTTTTTGTACCCCATTTTTTGGTTAAGAAATAAAAAAAACAATTCCTTACATCCCCACCTACAATAATGGCAACTTCTTTGGAATTTCCTGTGTTTCTGTCTGTACCTTTCATGTACCTTTGTGTCCTGTTTTTATTTTGGAGGGATTTAATTCCCTTTACAAAAAACAAGGGTCAGTTCAGGTAATTTCCAGACAGCAGAAAAGTAGGCCAATGTTTCATTTAGAATGCACATTATAAGTATCAGTTTGAAACGTCCTTTAATGAAGTTAGTGGCAGTACTGTACTTTCAATATGTTGGGGCAACAAGTCATTATTATGACCCATGTAATGAGCTTCATCTCTTGTCCCTGAGGAGTTAAGATCCATCCTGGGTCATGAGTCAATTCCTCTTGAAACTGTGAGATATGGATTTTCCACAAAAAATGATGTATCATTTTAGACACGAGTCCACCATTTTGCTGGTTTGTATCTTAACAGGGTAAGTCAGTGACAAAAGTGACTGTGAACAGCAGCTTACCAACACTGAGCTACAGTAACTCAGTTATATAACTCTGTCTTATTCTCATACCACTCTAGCGCGAGAATAAGACAGAGCCATAATGTAAAAGTATTATTCTGCAATTCTATTAGCAGCCAAAGGTTTGCGTTGTCAGAAGTAAATGTGCTTTTATACTGTATCTGTTCTTGCACTTCTGTATAACTTATCACTGCAAAAAAACACAATGAGAAAAGGCAAGTGCAGCTCTGACTTATGTTTTATTTTTCCTCTAATCTTTGCCACAGAACGTCTAAGCCAAACACAATAATTAGAATAACCCCCCCCCATCTCTAAAATATTCTTAATTTTGCCTTGAAATGTGATATCCCCTAGTTTTTCTAAATAGCATGACACCATGAGAGAAAACATAGTGTGGGTTGTTTTTGTCTCAGGGTGTGTATGGTTTTGCATGGGAAGGTTTGTGTTCTCGTGAAAGGATATTATAAATGTAACACAGCGAAGCACTGCAAAGGTTAGGCTGAATAGCTTCCTCTCATCGGCATCTTTTCTTACATTCTCATGCCATGTTACGTATCCAGATTGAATTTGGGAAAGGAAAGTGTATCCTACACAATGGCAAAGACTTTAATGGAGTCTTAGGGAAATCCTTCCAATTATTCTGTGCACAGTGCAAATCCTGAGATTATGCATATCTTTATATATAGCCACTTTCTTCAGACATTAACTATAATTATGGATATAATTATGGATATGTTGTAATGAACTGAGCCTTTTTTTTAAAATATAAGTCATAGCTATAATGCATAACTCTAGTAATTAGTCTTAAATTAGTTTTAACATCCACGCATTACAGGAGAACATGAATATCCTATTTTGCTTGCTTGTATCATTCCTTTCATTTACAGTTTTCCCTTACAGTATGTACTCTATTTATAGCTAATTAAATAGTAAGATGGTAAATTGTATTTTATGTTTTATTTATTTTTTGTTTCTTGTACATGGAACCAACTTCCATACCTCATTTTTAATTGTTCAAAGCTCACGTTTTATTTTATATGCTCTCCAAGCAAACCAGATAGTAATATAAACCTGGAAGATGAATCCTGTCCTGTGGTTTGCTGTGTTTAGTTGGTATACTCTGATATGAAGAATCTGTGTGCTCTGAGTATGATCTGAGGATGCGTTGTCTCAGTAGTGCATTTGGTTATTTAATTAATTTAAAAGGTTTGTATTCCTCTAAAATTCTTTGGTCCCAGTTCATTCGTTGGATGCAACTTGGAGTGTATACTGTATATTGTTACAGCCACAATGCTCGCACTTTCATTGGAAAGGAAGAAGGAAAACCAGCTGTATGTTTGTGACAAACAAAAGGCTTTTGACCAAATCACTGGTTCTTGAACAATATTTAAGACTAAACCATGTCTGTGCCAAGGAAAACTATTGGAGATGTAGCTACTGTATGACCAACTTGCACTTTACGTTTATGCTTATCCACCCATATT